TCCTTCTGGTTCCTGTTCTGATCCAAAACCTGTTCCAGTAAAACTCTGTTGAAGTCTCACAGCAAAAGCAGCAGCAGCTCCCCAACAACACGATTCTACTGACAGCAGCTCTTTACCTTCAGGTTTCTCCTTCCTCCTCTCAGCAGACACACTCTGATGGGACAGAATAAATGTCTTATCATCCTCCTCAATGCAGACACACCACGGCCGTAACCGGTTTGTTGTCCCAGAATTGTACATCTCAAGAGTAAAACTCCGCGCAGTAACCCGCACCCTCCGGTGAACAAACCGCGTGCCCTTGTGGTGTATTTACCCCTGTGGTTTCCTGAGTTGGTACAGTCCTTGTAGGCCATAGGCTGAAGCCTGTATCGTTCAAGTTCGCTCCACCTATTTGGGGACTACTAAATGACACCTGCAAAAAAATCCTTAGTTGTCAGACTCATGTTGGTAGATGGCTGTACAGTATTCAAAGAAAAGTTAGTGCAATGAGGAGAACGGGACGAAATAGAAAAGAGGAAACGGTTATATCTAGGTTGCGTTTTGGACATACAAGGTTAAACAGTAATTTATTTAAAATAGGAAAACATCGAACTGGAAGTTGTGATTTTTGTGGTCAAGAAGAGACGGTAAAGCATGTTTTGTTGTTCTGTAAATATTCTGTTGAGAGAAGGAAATTAGTTAGTCGGTTACAAGAAAATAAATCACAGTTGAATTTACAAAATATTTTAGAAAAAATTTCTACTTCTAAAGATATAAGTCATATAATTAATTATTTCAAGAAAACCCCCCCGCAGGTCTCCCCCACTCTATCTCTGCCCCCTTACCTGTCAAACTACTGTCATTAAAGGCAGTGGCGGGCCGTGCATTTTACACCTAGGCCTTCAGTAGTGCTCCGTCTGAATCAATTCACCCCTCAATAACTATTTTATGGTTATATAAATCATCTTAATATGTAGAAATACAGTAGGGATGTCCCGATCCAGCTTTTTGTATTAAAGTTGATTTTTTTTTTCTACTTACTTAGTTGTCAGACTCATGTTGAACAGGGATTTACTCTTATAACAACTAAAGTTTACACAGACCTGTGGGTTAGGAGATGCTAATGCTAATGCTAATGCTCGGGTGGGATCGGACTTAAAAAAAAAATGTATCTGGAGTCTCGATTGGCATTTTCTCATGCCGGCCGATACGATCCAAATCTCGGATCAGGACAATCCTAAAATACAGTCTAAAGATCAGGGGTGCACATGTCTTCTACTCCTGCAGCTACAGCGGTGAT